AGCTAACACAGCAGCTGGTACAGGTAGGTGTGTGTGTGTGTGTGTTTGTGTTATATGAAATGTTTTTATGCAAAAGTAAAACCTTGTTAGAGTGTATATTACAGTGTAGACTAAAGCTGAGTGACGAGCGCGCCCCTCCCCTCCCGTACCGAGAGCAACAGAACCTCCTCCTGATAATCGTTATGTTTTCAGTTCACCTACGTCGGGGAAAACGATCCAAACCATACAAGTAGCCCATCAGTTTAAAGCCCAGACTCTGCTCTTTCCAACAATATAAGTGTCACAGCTCTACGTGAAAAATTCACAGAACAAGCAGCCAAGGAATAGTGAAAAAGGCTAAATTCTGGAACCATAAACATGAACGTCTTTCCTTTGTTTTTATGTCTTTAATCCACTTTGGAGTGATTTTTTCCCACTTGGCTGGACCTGTATGTGTCCTGTGTTAATGTTGGTACATGTAATATGTAATTCTGTACTGTGGAGATCATTAAGAGTCGTTATCAAGTGAAAAAATCTTTTGCTAACACTGTGTTGCCTGCGAACCGGAAGTGCTAGATTGGAAGTCGGTGGCATGTAGGCTATTAGCCTTTTTTCATGGACTCAACTGGGTCCTTTACAAGAAATAAATAAAAAATACAACTTTAGATCGTGCATTCTGGTTTAGTTTTCTCTGTACTCTATTTATGGTTGAGTTTTTAAAAACGCGCCACAGAAGCCCGACCCGATTGGCAAGCATATAATTTTGGTCCGAACCCAGCCCAAATTCAGTTCTTAGACGGTGCATAAATGTTTTTTTTTGGGATTGACCAAACTGTAAATTCTCAAAATAAAATAATGCAAGGTTTTACAAAAAACTTGCAGCTACAGAATCATTTTAGATAAAATCTTTTTAATGAAACGTCTGTAATTCCCTTTAGTTTCTGCCTGGTTTTGCTCCTCTCGTTTCTGAACATCATCTACCAGGTAATSCCCACCTGTGTGTTGTTGTCCAGGTGAAGGAGACAAAAAACATCTGATGACCTGTCTGCTGCAACAAACTCACCTTTGCTGATCCCATGGCGTAATGGAAGTGTCGGGGCCTCTGGCTGGTGGAGTTTGGGGCCCTGCTGGCCACTTGTTTCATCCAGTTCAGACYTCTCCAGACCACCATGTCCCCCGTCATGGTGGCACCCTACAGAGCAGGAGGTGTCAGGTCCACGGCAGGCAAATAACTTGGTTCTAGTATTTTTATTTTATTTTAATACATTTACAATGTAAAAGAGCACAATTTACACCAGAGTTTGCTGAAGTGTTTAGTCTAGCTTCTCCCGGAATATACAAGATTTTAAACAAAAACACCACACTGTTTAAGTAAATAAAAAATATTCATTACTTGTATTTCGTTGTATTTTTCTGCATGTTATTTTTTTGCAGTGTCACCACTTTTGCATTGTTTGTGCTGTAGTCACTTACATGTATGAAAACATTCAGCTCAATAATTTAACATCAATAAAAACAAACTAAAAAATACAAATTATTTCAGGTCACAAAGAATTGTTTAATGAATTTATTTTTTATCACAACGACTTATTCTTCAGTTTCACAATGATGCAGCTGTATCTGAAGCTGACCCACAGCTGACACACATGTTTTTCTCCTTCTTCTCTGGAAATGTTGAAAAACACAAATACTGGATGTAGAAAATATCTGAATAAACCAGCTTGTCTGACAACGTGATTATTTATGTTTATGATGCTCAATCATTAAATAGTGTCTGTCATTAGTGAGTCTACATCATAGTTTCTGAATTTATATGCAGTCTAACTAGTCAACAACCCAATAAAGTCCATATTTACATGTTTAATATCAGTAAATATTGTATTTAACAACAGATAAAATCAATTTTAAATAAGGTTAAACATGAACATTGAAGCTATTTAATGTTAGCATACAGGTTTTATGATTAAAATAATTAATTTTGGTCAAATATGCAAAATATTTACCTGTGAAAAATAACCATTTTATCTCTTGTAAACATGTTGTAACAATTTCTGCAGTTAATAGCAAAGTATTTGTACCATTTATACATTTATAAAGTGTTTGCTTGCACCGCGCTACGTTCTGCTCATTGATTTCAATGGTTTGTGTTAGCTTTAGGTCAATGCATAAAAATCCCCCTTGCGAAGCCACGCCCAGGACACGTGACGCCCAATCCAGAAATATATATCAATGGTGGCATTAAGGGAAGAAAGCTGCAGCAGCATCAAGCTTCTTTTTTTTTTTTTTTTCAAATTAAAAATGCGTATTTACCAACGCTAAAAACTGATGTAAACTGCCTAAAAAAACTCTTATTAGGTCACCTCTACTCTAAAATAAGTAAAAAAAAATATTTTCCAACAAAGGGACTTCTCTCTGCTGCCACTGCAGGAATCGTTCCTGTTGTTTTATGTGTTCTACCAGCTCATCTATAACAGAAACACCAGTAAARCTGAACACAGCTTCTGTAAAAATGCTAAGTATAATTTACTCAACCAGCACTGCACAACATTACAGAAAATACCTTGCTGACAAGGCACTACCTCTGTCTTCATTTGTACTCACTGGTCACTGCTTATTTTTCTGTTTATTATTACAAGTGTTGTTTTTAATGCTTTGAATTCTGAACATGTCTGCTGTTGCGAAAAATTAATTTCCCTCGGGATCAATAAATTGTCTTATATTCTAAACTGTTTTTGGTWTTAGCCTTTAGCTGCTGTCTTGTTTTTAATAGACTTTAGTTGCTATCTTGCTTGCCTTAACCTGCTACTACTGTCTATGCTAGTCTTTGTAGTTAGCTGCTGTCTTGTTGTTTTAGTCTTTAGTCATTATTTTGCTTGCCTTAACCTTTAGCTGCTGTCCTGTAGGTTTTAGTCCTTAATCGTTATCTTGTTGGCCTTAACCCTTAGCTGCTGTCTTGCTAGTCTTAGCCTTTAGCTGCTGTCTGGTTAATTTTTAGTCTTTAGCTGCTGTCTGGTTAATTTTTAGTCTTTAGCTGCTGTCTGGTTAATTTTTAGTCTTTAGCTGCTGTCTGGTTAATTTTTAGTCTTTAGCTGCTGTCTGGTTAATTTTTAGTCTTTAGCTGCTGTCTGGTTAATTTTTAGTCTTTAGCTGCTGTCTGGTTAATTTTTAGT